AAACACTAAAAGACTCCAATTGATGATATTAGTTAGGTTAGAATCGCAAATTGGCGCGGGTTCCTAGTTCAAAAATTAATACATTGATGTCTTATGGGGACTCAATTTTAAAAGCGTCTGTAGTCGTGATAGAACGTTTGTTACGGAATTGGGTTGTATAAATAGTTTTTTTAATATGTTAATTAACTGAGAGAGTGATTGAAAGTTGAATAAACATTGTTAAAATAAAAATATTACCAATTTAAGAAGCCGATGTTTGTATAAAATACGTATGTCCTTGCTTGATTCATAAGTATATATGAGTACCTAATTGACGTTTTCAATTAAAAGAGATGGACGATAAGTATGAAAACATTCATTTTCCCGCCAAAATTTGCTTCTTTGTCAATGTCAATGTGTATTGGGTGTTTAGCAATCCCCTCATTTTTATTTGAATCGGTGACTTCTCCAATGAGTTAGCTATCTTTGTTAAGTGAATGGAAAATGAGAATGACCGACATACAATGATGGATCCATCGGTAAAATTTGATAATAAAAACGCAGGGTTTGAAATTGGGAAGAAAATGTAGGAAAAGTCACTGCTTCATTCGCAGAACTTCGCTATGGAGCCGGTGGTGGATTATTTTGGAAGCAAACAGCTTCTGCAAACTAAACTTGAACGTGGATTACTTTGTATTGATGGGCCGTTGATTTCCCTTTCTTTTGCGAGTATCCTTTCTGCATTCTGATTTTGTGTATCCAAGTTTTGACAAATGTAGGATTTGATGGAAACTTATGGAAAAACACGTCCGCCGGTGAATAGGAATTAGGTTTATGGATAGGCACACTACACACAATCACCATTGAAGAAAAAAACCTTGAAAACCCCGAGGAAATAATAGTTTCTTTCAAAAGTCTTGTCTACAAACCACTGTCAACGGCTGTCAACCATTGTTTTCATACTCTTTTGACGTCTGACAGTTTGATGCCAGAGAGAGAGGCTTTTAAATTGAAAAGGTCAATTATAATAAAATAAAAGTTCACCTACATACTTGGTTAGTAAATGTACTTCAATAATCCAAAAAAATGGAAAAACAAATGACTGAACTAGTGATAAATAAATAAATAAACAATTCACCAACAATCATAACACAACACACAACCTCACTTTCTCTCAGCTGGTTTTAGACTCGACGTACGTCCACCGAAAACAGACACTTTTAATTAAAATCATTTGTATTTTTAATTCATAGGTCTAAAAAAACAATTAGAGCATGAATTATAGAGAAATATGTTCAAAGTTTGATGTACAATAGGTTCCAATACTAAGAAATGCCCAGAACCCAAGATATTCCCGAGTGAAAATCACTCTTTTGAATCCCCCATAAGAAATACATTGCTGTCAAATTTGTTGAAATGTGTTTAGGAACCCATTTTAAATTTCGCGCCCGATTTTTCTTAACCAGCTAATATGGTCAATTTTATTCATTGTCAAAATAATTTGAAAACTAAGAAATAGGACCCCCGCTCCCGCTGCGCTGTGCCGGGCACAAACTTTCGTGGATTTTACCATTTCAATACTATTAAAATTTTCAACATAGCCCCATCTCTGTCGCTTACATAGGCTGCTGGTAAAATCGCTCTCTCTCCCCTAGTGCCTGCTGAAAAACGGCACTGCTCGCGTCGCGTCGAGCTTGGAGATGGCCGCAGCGCGGTACAGGCTCTTACATTGCGCAGGGTTGCCAGATTTGAAATTATTAATAAATATAAAAGGAAATGCATACATTTTTTTTAAAAAATAGTATAAGAAATTTTAAAAATAAAAAATATATTTTTACAGAAAAGTAAGGTAGTGCCATGGCACCGTGGCACTATCTCACGAGCCGCCACTGCCTAAACCAAATAACAAAAAGTTGCTGTGAATAACAATAATTAGGTACTTACTAATTACTAAAAACTCTGAACTTAAATATATTAAACAGAACTGCCTTCAAGACACACAGCCATTTCATTTGGAAACAAAATCATTGAGAAATGAAATAATAAGCTTTGTTTGGGTTTGAGGACGGTTCTATTCTAGAACAGTTCGAAACAATCGCAAAGTTTGTGAATCAACAAAATGACTGGCTCGGCTATCACAAATTCCAATAAGAAACTATGTGATTGTTTTGAACCAACCTTTTTTCTAACCCAAACAAAACTATAGAAACTTCACAAATAACCTAATTGCCTTAACCAAATAACAAAAAATTGCTGTGAATAACAATACCTAACTAAGTACTTTGAACAAAGTAATAAAAACTCTAAACTTAAATATATCCTTAAAAATTCCTCATGGTATATTTCAACAACTTTGAAATGTAGCAACTTTTTTTTGGATCCTTTAATAATTTCGATCCACTGATCTGGGCTGTAAATTTGTACATGTTTACGGCTTGCACTTTCTATTATACCAAATTCGCCATCCTTAGGGAGGTAGGAGTGGCCTGACACTAAGAATTTGAGATCTATTGTATCAATAGAGACATCTGGATCTTGCACAAGCTTTAGAAGAGAAAGGCTTGTTTTTATATTACGATTTTGGCCGGTACATAAATCTGAATATGCAATAACATGATTATGGGTTGAAGCATTTTCTTTTAAATGTTTAACCAAACACGTTGCTATATCTTGGGAGCCACGCCCACCTTCCGTTTCATCCCATACGTACATATATCCAGTTTTATCATTTCCACAATGTATACCTAAATTGTATAGGTATAAGTTTCTTTTATAGTAAGCAACAGAAACTGTAAGCTTAGGAAAGGGGAGGGCTTTTTGTAAATCAAAGCTTATCCCATAAGCATCATTCACATTTTAAAAATTCTTTAGACTATTTCTAGCCGATTGTGCCTTTCTTTGATGCAGTCCTCTTTGCAGCTCTAATTCTTTTTTTATACAAGGTGTCCACAAAGGGTAGGGGGTATTTGTAAATTCAATAAAAAAAAAGCCACATGTCAGAAAAAAAATATATTTATGTAAGTTTTTGGAGAAAGTTTTGGAGATTTAAGTAGCAAAGATTATGTTGTCCAAATGTCGAGCCTCGCGCTGCTGGCACTCCTCTAAACGAAAACGGAAATTAGCCGCCACGCGTCTACACATCTCTCTGGGAATGGCGTCCATTTCGGTTCTGATGTTGTGCTTCAATTGCAGTAGAGTTCGTGGTGTATTTGCGTACACTTTCTGTTTAAGATATTCCCATAAGAAATAGTCAAGGGGTGTGAGATCGGGGCTTCTAGGAGGCCAGTTGATGGTGCCTCGACGAGAGATCACTTTTTCTGGGAAAAGTCGATTGACAGCCGCAAGCGATTGGTTGGAAGTGTGGCAAGTGGCCCCATCTTGTTGGAACCATGTTTCCACATTAAAGCCTTCAAACTCCTGTAATTGTGGAGCCAAAAAGTCCCGTAACTTGACGCAATACCGTTCACTGTTTACCGTAAGTGCTCGCCCTCGCCGATCTTCAAAAAAATACGGCCCAATGATGCCTTCACCAGACATGGCAGCCCACACGATAACTTTTGGACTATGTAGTGGTCGTTCATGTTTCTCTCTTGGATTTTCGTTGGCCCAGTAGCGGCAGTTTTGTTTGTTTACGTGCCCGTTCAAGTGAAAGTTCGCTTCGTCACTAAACAGAATGTTTTCAAACGTTGGAAACCTTTGAAGCATTTCATTTGCAAAATTCAGTCGGAGAGGATAGTCGGTGGGTTTCAGTTCCTGAACGAGCTGAATTTTGTAGGCTGTAAGATGTAAATCTTTCTTCAAACTGTTGTGCAGCGACGATTTTTTAATGTCAACTCCTTGACTGCGTTTCCGAATTGATTGAGAAGGATTTTGTCGCACTGAAACTCTTACGTGTTCAATCGCTTGTTGGGTTCGAACAGAACGTGGGCGACCTGGATTGTGAATTTTCACACTCGAACCAGTATTCTCGAACATTCGAATCCATTTTCTGATGGTATCGTCTTTCGGTGCATTCCGTACATTAAATTCTGCACGATATAAACGTTGAGCTGTGACTATCGAATCACCATTGCGATAATAAGCGCGTATGCAAAAAGCCCTATAGTTTCCCGGGTACGCTTCCATGGTTAAAAAATCTCCAGAGAGTACTGCATCAGCCTATTCTCACTCTCCCCTCCCACCCTCGCCGTTACCTGGGAAACGCAGATACAAATACCCCCTACCCTTTCTGGATACCTTGTATTTTCTTCATCTGCAGCCTTTATTTTTAATTCAAATTCATCACACTTCTTGCAGGTATCTTGATGTGGTGGCTTGAAGTGTAAATTAAACTTCGTGTTGAAAACATGATAGTAATATTTTAATTTTTTTGGCTCTTTGTTTTCTCTGGAACACTCTTCTTTATATAAGTCGTACATTTTTTTAACAGTTAATTCACTATTTAAATATTTTCTAGTAGGATTCTTGATCCTGGAATAGTGGCTTTGGTAGGCTGGAAATTCACTTATATGGGCAACAATATCAGTATCATCTAATCGTCTGGAACTTGTCGTGCCACGCCGTTGTTTGCACTCCGACATCGTCTTCTTAGCAATGCATCTGTATAGTCGTCCATTACTTATTTGAAAAGTAGACAGAAAAAATTTCTTACACACAACCTGAGTATTTCCGTCATTCCTCAAAAAATATGAGAAAGAAGTCTGTTTTTCATGACCAGAACCATCTTTTGGGCGTTTTCGAACAACTTTTTTAGCTTGCACAAGACCATGTATATATGAATTTTGTGCCACATAATCTGCAAGGCTCCAGGACGAGTCAAAAATTAGTTTTCGTTCAACTTCCGTAAATAAAGTGAAGCATTCCTTTGCACAGTCGCAATCTAGATGAGTAAATTGTTTCTCAGGTACCATTACTCCCCTCTTTGAAACATAACTATTTCCTGAATTTCTGCTTAACTTACTTTGGTTTATTTTCCACGACTTTTCTATTCTTGTGCATTTCCTTTTTCTTGATGTTGTGGGTTATAATAATTGAGGATTTTCGGCAATCTGTTCATCTGGAAAAAAAACATTAACATTATAAATAACCTCAAAATAAAAATGTTAAAACCAATATTGGCAATAATAAGCATATAATCAAAAATAGGATGCAATTTAAATCTGAAAGTACATACCTGGTCTTATTTGAATTTGTAAGAGTGGATCATCACTGGAGGCAGTAGCTGGATCATTTTCTTCGGAACCTGTAACCTTAATTTTTATACATGCAAAATTATACTGACTATTACCCCTAAACTATTTTGAGGTGATACTTAGTCTGAATTTACTTACCAGATGAATTATTGTTCGAACTTGGACAATATTCGGACCCAAAGTCACTAAAATCAGGAAATTCGTCAGCATTTTCACTATCCATCACGAAAAAATGATTATTTCGCGCTGAAACAACTTTTATGTAAACATACAAACAACAAGTTTCAGAATGAAAGTGGTCTGACTCCTGACATGTACCATTGTTATACTGACATTGACGCATACTTGGACTTGTTTCATTTTTATACGGACTATTTTCTGTTTTGACACCCTTTTTATGATCAAGTATCGCCATATTTTGGTAAAAAATCACATTAGGGAGATAGACCATTTTTATATGGAAGGATAGACATTATCCTTATCGTTTTAAATAAAGAGCGGCTATTTTGAAAATAGTGGATTTGGACCACTGTTATTCTATGTCCCTCATATATCAAACAGTATTGCCTCCAAGAAACACAGCCAATTCATTTGGGTACAAAATAATTGAGAAATGAAATAATAGGCTTTGTTTGGGTTTGAAAAAAAAGGACGGTTCTAGAACAGTTTAAAACAATCGCACAGTTTATCAATTAACAAAATGATAATGGCTATCACAAATTTCAATAATAAACTGTTTGATTTTTTTTGAACTGTTCTAGAACCGTCAGTTTTTCAAACCTGAACAAAACTATAGGAATATAAAAAAAGAAACATTATAGGTATCCTAACCCCCTATAACTATAGAGATCAAAACACATTTTAAAGGTGGGTTCTAACAGACATTTAATTCAAGTTAATATTTTATATAATTTAATATTAAAAGTTTAATAATAATAATAATAATAAAGAATGAAGGCTTTCACGGCCGGTCAAATCTAGCAAAAAAGTTTTTTCCGGGCTATAATGCCGTGGTCCATTAGTATTTCTACCTAACGTTTCGTCTACTGCTGCGGTAGACATCTTCAGAGGCGGTGTGGTAGAGGACGAAGTGTTCTCTTCCGTGTTTCTCCGATGACTGAATTCGACGTTGAGGGAACTATGTTATTTATATCCAGGGTTGTGGGCGTGGCTCGGATTACGGTATTTTCCTTGTCTCGTTCTCGGAAAGGAAGGGTCTTTGTTTTTCCGAGAACTGGCAACCAGCTTTTATTGAGGTTCATGCCCTCTTCTTTTCTGTTGAAGTTGTTGTGGTGTTTCTGTATCTCTATGGCTTCTCTGTGGAGCCTGGTGTAGAAATGTTTGGTTCTATCCAATGTTTGAGTCTGGTCGAAACGAATGACATGGTTTGTTTGCGTAAGCACGTGTTCGGCGATTGCTGATCTATCTATTTGTCCTTGCTGACAGTTTCTTTTGTGCTCTTTGACCCTGGTGTTGATAGAGCGTTTGGTTGTTCCTACATAGACAGATCCACAAGAGCAGGGAATTCTATAGACGCCAGCCGATTCAAGAGGTGCCCTAGGATCCTTGGCCGATCTTAGACTTTGCTGAATTGTTCTTGTGGGCTTGTAGATAGGCTTAACGTTGTGTCTTTCTAGCGTTCGTCCTATGCGATCTGTGACATTTTTGATATAGGGAAGAAAGGCTCTCCCTGCCACCTGTGCTGGTTCCTTGTTAGTTGTGCGCTGCTGCTTCGGTCTTATGGCTCTATTTATCTCCTGCTTGGAGTACCCATTTCCTTCAAGTGCCGATTTTAGGTATTGCATCTCGTCCTGAAGGTATCTGGGTTCACAAATCCGGATTGCTCTGTCAGATAGAGTTTTAATGACTCCTCTCTTTTGCCTAGGATGGTGATTAGATTCCTTGTTGAGGTATCTGTCCGTATGTGTCGGCTTCCTGTATACTCTGTGTTCCAGTTTACCTGAGAGTAATCTTTCTAAGAGGACGTCGAGGAATGCAATTTTCTTATCCTTCTCAACTTCCATCGTAAACTGTATCCTGGGTTCTATCAAGTTTAGATGATTAAGGAAGTTTTCGAGCTCTGCCTCTCCATGGTTCCAAACAGAAATGTGTCATCTACATAGCGAAACCAACAAGTAGGTTTCTTTGTAGCCGTTCGCAGTGCCATTTGTTCGAAGTGTTCCATGTAAAAGTTGGCGATACATGGAAATACTAATGGACGACGGCATTATAGCCCGGAAAAAACTTTTTTGCTAAATAATAATAATAATAATAATAATATAGTTTACTAGCTAATGACCCGCTGCGTTGCCAGCATGTAAATACATTTTGAAATAATACACTTCTTTTCAAATTTTGTTGTTGATTTTCTATTTAATTTTTTTTTTTAATCCGATATCATAGTCGCTTGCCAGTGAGTTCAGTGACGCATTTTAAGCACTCCAGAGCTGCTCTAGAGCGCCCCGAGCTGTTTATAGGCGTTCCAGTGTATCAGAGTTTTACGCAACCGAACTTTTTTTTTCGCGATAAAAAATAGCCTATATCACTCTCCTCTATAGCCGATTCGATTGACCGGATTAGATCGATCTGGTTCAATTTAAGTGAACGACACTGTGACTGTGTTCGATTCAAGCTGGATCAGTGCACCCTCATCAACAAAAAAATGATCTAGATCAGAACAAGTTCACTTAAATTGAACCCAAATCGATCTAATCTGGGTCAATCGAATTCACCTTATATAGAGATACGTGGTATTAATTCAATATCGGTCCAGCCGTTCTTGAATTCAAAAAATAATAAACTTACGTCGGTTGAATGCAAGCCTAAATAAATGAAATATGGCAACGTTGTTTCATGCTGTCAAAAAAAGTTGGGTTATGTTGTTATGTAATGTGAATGAGTTTGTTTTCAATTAAATTAATAATTAATTCAAAATTAATTTCTTTTTCCGAGATGCGTAACCTATCCACAAACCTTCCTTGGAATGGCCATAACAACCTACCAAAGTTTCATCGTAATCGGATAAGTGGTTTTGGAGCGCATATCCGGATACCCCGTGAACTTTGATTTTTATATATATAGATTTAAATACAAAAGCAAATACAAAAATTAAATAAATAAATAACAATGATAGCCTATCTAGGAAAATGCTGAATATTGCACTAAACAAACATGTTTAGCCACGTAAGATTCCTTGTCTGTGTGGTCTGTGTTGTCTATTTATCCATGCAATAGATAACATCTCAAAAAAAAGATTTTATCAACAGCAATCATTAAGAATTCCGTTAATAGTAACTGAAATAGAAGGAAAACAACTAACAACCAACAAAATATTCCTTACATTACACACTAAAGATTACATATCTATCCATCATGTTCTATTCTAAAATAAAAAATAATTGAAAAAAATTGGTTTAACTAATAGTGGGCTTATCAAAGTAGAATAAATAAAGACAAAGCACCTAGTAATTCTTTAAATCAATTATGGAATGAATGTGATCTCTTGAATTATCATTAATCCATTCTTCGACTGCAAGCTTGAAGTGTTTAAGTGTTTGTTTTTGTTTTATTCCCAAGGGCAAGTGATTATACACTCTACTCTAGCTGCGATAAAAATATGACACCTTTGACCAATAGTTTTTCTTATTCGGTTCCTCAACTAATTTTGTTGTCTTGTGTGATGTGTCACAATATTTTTGTCCTCTGTTTTATGTGTCATTATAGCTAATTGCTTACAGAATAGCTGTCGAATATCAAGGATCTTGTTTTCTTTGTATAAAAGATCTGAGGGATATATTCTAGGTTTATTGAATATAGTTTTGAGTAACCATTTTTGCGAAGCTTCAAGTTTATGTAGATGGTCTTTTAAAACTCCTCCCCACGCCACAATGCCATTGGCAAGATGCAGAATTACTAGAGTTTTGTACAGCATAGTAAGTTTATCAATTGTAAATATATTTTTATAAAATTTAAACTTGTAAAGAAGGTTTAATATTTTTTTATTAATAAAATGTATATGGGCTTCCCATTTAAGAGTGTTATCGAACAAGATTCCAAGGTATTTTATTTGTTTAGCAGATTTTATCTTAAATTCGTTGGTTATCAGAAGTTCCTGATAAGTTGGTAGAAATTTTTCGTAGGAGGTAAATGGCATGAAATATGTCTTCTTCCAGTTGACTGTTAATTTTTTTGTTGAAAAGAAGTCTGCATATTTTCTAAAATCTTTCTCTACTTTTAAGTTTTAATTCATCCCAATTATCACCTGTATAGAAGCACACCTGATCGTCCGCAAAACTGCCACAGCCGCAACCTAGTCTATCTGAAACATATCGTTCACATAAATAGTGAACCGAAGAGGACCCAAGACGGTTCCCTGCGGAACGCCATACGGAACTTCCTGGCAGTCACTGACTACCGAGTTCATCTCAACGCACTGCCTCGTATCCAAGAAATAGCTCTTCATTATGTCAAGTTCTTTGTTTTTGAACCTAAGATTTTGCAAACAGGAGAACATTTCTCTGTGACAATCGGTATCGAAGGCCTTGGCAAGATCGACGAAGACGCACACAGCTGGTTTTTTATTATCAATCGCTTCATATATTTTGGCACTTATATAAGCTAATGCGTCTTGCGTCGATCTGCCCTCCCGGAAACCGAATTGTCTATCACTTATCACTTTATTCCTTTCAAGATAGGAAACGATGCGTTTTTTGAGAATTTTTTCCAAAATTTTTGACAAGCTTGAGAGCATTGAGATAAGCCCGTATTACATATGTGTATTTTTCCGTGTATTTATTCATGTAGTTCAGGATGCCAACATTATTTTGTTTTTCATATTGCTGATTTATGTTGAGTTTGAAGTTTTTCGGTTGTCACCCTGAACTACATGAATAAATACACGGAAAAATACACAGATGTAATACGGGCAATAGGCCTGTAATTACTGACATTTTCCTTGTCTCCAGATTTAAATATGGGTCTAATTTTAGCTAATTTCAAAGATTTGGGAAAGATGCCATTTTTTATTGATAAGTTAAAAATATAGGTAAGTGGACCTGAAAGTTCATTTGTATATTGTTTTAAGAGCTCTGCCTGGATTTGATCTAATCCTGGGGCTTTATTGTTTTTTAAATCTTTTATTATTTTTATGACTTCATCAGCATCAGTAAGTTCAAATCTTATTTCATCTTGCAGAATTGTTTTGGGAAATTGTTTTGCAGGATGCACTATCTTTGAGGCCAAATTTTCTCCTATCTTAGAAAAATAATTACTAAAATAATTTACTATTTGCTGTTTGTCTGTGCTAGGACCGTTTTCCGTACTCATCTGTTTGATCTCGCTATTTTTTGTTTTATTTTCAAGTTTGTTTAATGTTAACCATAGGTTCTTAGAACAGTCTTTATTTTTTTTAATTTGATTTTTAAAGTAATTAATTTTTGTGTGTTTTATCAATTGATTCAGCATATTTCTATAGTTTTTATAGTTTTCAAAAGCTCCCATATTATTTGTGTCGCTTTTATATTTTTTGTACAACATATGTC